TTTTATTATAGTTTGTTTTAAACTTGTGTCAAAAATATATTTAGCATATATTTTTAAAAGTTTGACAAATTCTAATCAGACATAAAATAAATCTTTTTTTTTATGTCTGATTAGAATTTTTTTTTAAACTGTTTTCTCTTACTTTTGTATTTCCTTGAGCTAAAGAACAACCTTAAAGTACAAAGGTTGATTTGTAATGCATACTTGACCTTTTTTTTTACTCGATATATATACATACATATATATGTACATAAATAAACATACATATATATGTATATATATATACATACATATGCTTAAATGAATATATTATATATATATATATATATATATATATTATATATATATATATATATATATATATATATATATATATATATATATATATATATATATATATATATATATATATATATAAAATAATGGTACAATTTAAAGTTTTTTCTTTTATTTGTAAAGTTTTACTTGATAAAAATAAACAAATAAAATTGAACATTTTGAATATTTATTGATTATTATGATAAATTATATAAAATATATACAAACTATAAATATTTTGCAAAAACACTTTTATTTGCAATATCTGCTTCAACACATTGTGGCATGCTTGCAATTTATTTTTTATAGTTTCTGTCAACTCTGGGTTATTATGCTAGATCTTGATAATCTCTTCCATAAAATCTTGCTTATTAGTAAGATTTTTTTTCCAATCTCTTGCTTTATTATTTCCCAAATGTTTTCTATGGGGTTAAGATCATGCGAGTTGTCTGGCCATAGCAATACATCAACTAAGCTATAACAGTTTTGATTGTGTGGCAAGTTGCACAATCTTTCATAAATATAAGATTTTTTACATTTGTTTTAATATTTTTGTCATTTTTTGACATTTTAGGCTGGACATCAATCCCTCTTCTTTTAGCCTTCTACAAATGGTCCGGTCTGACACAACAATTACAGCTTCATGGATCTTGCGTTTAGAAGGTGGTCTCCTTAGACCAAACTCTTCCCCTGTATAAATTCTTTTTCTTACTTGCATTACGGTTTGGTAAGAAACCTTTTGCGTTGGGTGAGAAACCTTTGGTAAGAAACCTTTGTGCAATTTTTCATTAAGAATAATTTGTGTTTTGTAAAAGACATGTTTATCAATTTATGTTACTATGATATTAATAACAATGTATAATGTAGGTTGTTGACCAATGGTTTATAATCAAAATTTAATATGGCTGACGGTAAAGGTAAAGAGAAGTTTAAAGGAACAAACATTAGGTATTTACTTGTAAGTTAAGTGTAAAATTATATAATTTTTGAAATCACAGTTCGTTTTTTTAATGCTATTTTCTTTTTAACTTTTTGATGTATTTGATGAAAATTACTCAGGCAATACCTTTTTTATAGAGAGAGTTTTGTCAATTAAAGTGACTGCTACAGTTGCCGAAATAAGAAAAGGAATAATGACTTTATTAAAATACGCACTCGACAGATCAAATGGTGGTGGTCGGCGCGTAAAAGGCGATTAACCCGATGTATAACAATTTTACTTTTTCCTAGTTGTTCTGGAACTATTGATAATAGTTATTATTGATAAATTGATAAATATATTACTGATAAATAAAACTTTTTTTTTTCAAACATTTTATTTTATTTGCATTGTATATAAAGTCCTTTGAAGCAATTTAGTTGTATCTGATTAATTTACGTAAAATATAATATCCTCTGCGCAAATTATTGCTTTTTTATTGTGTTATTTTATTGCAATTAAAGTTGAGAAAATTTTTTAGTTAATTGGATTTAACCAAAATAAAAAACAAAAATCAACGTTGAATTTACGTTGTTTCAACGTTGTTTTAACGTCTTATCAACTACGTATCAATCGAATATATCACCTATTCAAAGTTGAAATATGGTTGATTTGTAGTCGATAAGACGTTAAATCAACGTTGAAACGACGTAATCATCGACGTTGTTTCAACGTCGTAGTTTTCGACGTCGGATTTTATTTCCAATTCAACCAAATTTCAACGTTGTTTCAACGTGGCCAATGGTCGGTTTACGACGTTGTTTCAACGTTATTTCAACGTCATTGTGCCGGCTGGGTAATTCCCCCTGAACAGTTTGAGAGTTCACCATTATTAGAGATCAATAATATTATTTGCAATACAAAATGTAAATATTTTTATAGGGTATTTTCAAGTTTCATAACAATATAACGTTAGTAAAGATTTCAAAACATTAAAACAAAGAAACATAAATAACATTTACATTAAGATAATTGCAAAAATAAAATTTAATGGTTGCTTAATTTAACTAAATTTACAAAGAGAAAAAATATAACAAAAACCTTACTAAACAAAATTATGTGTCGAGAGAAAATATTTTGGAATGAATATATATATATATATATATATATATATATATATATATATATATATATATATATATATATATATATATATATATATATATATATATACAGTGCCGGCCTTAGCCTTTTTGCCGCCCTCGTGCGAAATTTGTCCTGCCGCCCCTGAAAATTTTATAAACGTGCTGGTAAATTACATGGAAAATAATAACAAATCGAATTCAAAAATAATAATTTGCAATAAAACACTACATACAAAGAAACATTTTTTGTTTATGTTTTACACAAAATACATTTAATTTTTTAAATTAATCTTACGAGCCTTCTTATCACCAAAATCTTTGATTAGGGTTGAAAAATCAAGATTTTCAGCAATATTCTTTTCAATCGATAGGGTTCCTAAACTTGAAAGTCTATCCTGCGACATTGTTGACCGCAGATAGGTTTTTATTAGTTTCATTTTGGAAAAGCTTCTTTCTCCACTCGACACAGTGACTGGTATTGTTAGCAAAATTCGCATTGCAATCCATGTGTTTGGATACAAATCTTGCATTTTGTGCTGTTTTATAAAATTTAAAACAATAATAGGAGTAATTTTATCCTTGACCATTTTAGAAAGAAAAGGTTTAATGCTTATCAGTTCATCGCAAAGGAGAATACCATTAATGTCCGATTTTAGATTTACGGTAAGTTTACTTTGAAGAGCTAAATATGATTTTAGAATTTCTTCTCTTTTTTGCAAACTATCAACATTATACGAAAAACCCCAAACTTCGGAATAATTCTCCAACTGTATAAATCTTTCTCTCATTGAAATTAAAGATGTGTCTAAAAGAGGATTGAAGAAATCGATTTCTAATTTTTTTTCAGGAGAAAATAAATAAATCCCATCTTGGGCTGGTTCGTCAAAATGGCGTTTCACTCGTATTATTCTTTTAAGTGGTTTAAAAACAGGCTCCACTTGTAATTCTATAGCCAAATCCTTTGCTTTTATAATTGCATCTTTAAAACCACATTTTCTATAGTTTTCTAAAAATGAACAACAGCTTTTTAATAACTTTGCACATTGAGTGATGTCCATGTCTTTTTCTTGAAGAGTTTTACTAACAATATTGACTTGAAAAAGAACGTCATACCAGACAATTAAAGAGACAAGAAAGCTAAAATCTTTTAATTGCTCTCCTAGAGTTATCGCTTCATGTGCAGTTTCAGGATTACATCCTTTAATTTCTGACAATGCTATCAAAGCATCATGTACATCACCAACTTGATAACGAACGGCTTTAACACTACTTATTTTTGCTTCCCACCGCGTGTCACAGAGTTTCTTTAAATGCAAAATTTTAACACGATCAATTAAAATTCTCCATCTGCTCACTGAAGCTGAGAATAGAGTAAACAATCTCTGAAGAATACCGAAAAAAGCTATAGATTTTACTGAAGACCGTGCAGAGTCACTTATTA